CCCCTGCCGCCCCGAGGGGAGGCGATGGGCTTTGTTTTGTGTTCTCCTGTTCCCGCCAGGGTTTTTTTGGCCCGGAGGAGGCCCGCGGGGAGGGGGGAGCGAGGCCCCGGGGCGGGCCTGGCCCTGGCGATGGGTTGAGATGCGGTGACCTTGGGGAACGGGTCCTGGAAGTTTGGCTTGAGGTTTAGGTTTTTTTTGTTTGTTTGTTGTGTTTTTTTCCCCCTCGTTTTCCCTGCAGTTGGAATGGCAGCACGGTGAGAGCGTGTTGCTGTGTGTTTCAGCCCTGCTGCCGCCACGTCGGGCTTCCCTGGAGGCGGGCTGCAGGTGCAGGCAGGGAGGTCCTGCCGGGCGCCCTGGCTCGCTGTGCTCCTCCTGGGGCAGGCTGCTGCCAGACCTCACCCGGCTGGTGGTTTCCTGCCCACGTGTAACCACAGTCAAGTTCATTTTTTGTCTACTCAGCCAGAATTGTTTCTGTGGCTTTGTTTTTGTTGAAAGAGCACATCTGTTCTCCTAATGCCCTTGCCTACTCTTCCCGATGTTTTTACGGACAAGTAATAATGGCTCTTCCAGTCTTTTGTTTTTCTCAGTTAAGTTTGGCTCGTCTGTAACATTTATTTCAGTTCTGTTGATCATTCTGTGGAGCTCGTCCCCATGTTACTTTGCTCTTAAACCTGGGCTGCTGGGATTGCATCCAGCTCCTGAGGTGTTTGCTTGCTGCCCTGGTGTGCAGGGGAGGGTAGGTGGGCCTTGGCCGAGTGGGTGGCAGTGGGGCAGAAAAGAACATGTTCGCTGCGGAAAGGCAGGTACTCTCCTTAGAGACATCCAACCTGGGAAGGCACACACGTGTAACACAGGCAGCTTGGTTGTTCCTCACTGTTACAGGCGGTTGGGGAGGTTAAGGAGAAGTTACCATGTGATCTATTTAAAATATTTTCCTATGTGTGGGGACACAGGGACACAGCAGTGGCCTCGCCTCCCTCCAGCCCTGGCTGTTGTGGCTGGCCTGTTGTGCAGGGGCTCCTGAGACTGCCCCCACTTAATACTCACTATGTCACTTGCTTACTTAATGTGACCAGAAGAGACACTCTCTGCAGTCCTACTGTCACTAAGAAAAAAATATTTCCAAAAGAAACAGTCATGGTGTAATTGAGCATGGGGAAGTGTCTTTTTCTCACCTGGCACTGTTCCCTATAACCCATGTACTGAATTTTTTAAAACTTTTTTTTTTTTTTTTAGCCCATCACATCAGATGAACATCAGCATTTCCACTGGGAAGGAGATAAACCTCTATTCAGAAGGGTTTTAGTAATATTCAGTGTAAACTCTTGCAGCCTTAATTTTTGAAAGAAGGCAGTTTGTGTAACCTTGAAACTGAGCCAAAAAACAGTGCTCTGCTTATAACTGGATCTTACGGCAACTCTTTAGGGAAGAGTGTGTAGATTACCTTGTTTATTATTTAGTCATTCTTTCCTAGTTTAAAATTTCTCTCAGTTTTAGTACAAAACGCAACGTGGGAGCACCAGTAAGTGGTATTTTAACTTCCTTTATATCATTATAAAGCTACTATATAATGCTTTTTATTCATTCACTTGTTTATTTTAATATTGTTCCAGATTTGTGGATGCTATTTTTCTACCAGCTGTCATCGCAACACCAAATTTTATACTGATCCTGTTGAAGCTGTAAAAGATATACCCAATGGAGCAACTGTACTTGTTGGTGGTAAATATTTTCATTTTAATATTTTTTTTGATGCAATCAGTTCTCTGATAATGACATACTTTTTACTGTTTCACCATGTTTATTTATGTATTAATTATTTGAGAAACTCTATACTTGTATGGGTATTTTAAACAAGTGTTTTCCTACTCTGCTATTGAAGGGCTGACTCTTTCAGTGAGAAAGTCCCAGTTTGCTTCTTAGGAGAGGGAAAAAGCCTTAGATAAATAATTAGTGGGTTTTTTTCCCCGTTGGTGTTAGCCTTTACTTGTGCCACTTTGAATGCAGAAAATGCACTTTGGCTTTTTCAAGTTAGCATTGTTATTTCAGATGGCAAAGAAGTAAAATTTTTTATGGTAGGATTCTTTGTTCTGTATCTGCCCAGTCGCTGGGTCTCTGTGACCATGACCAGATCACCTAACCTGTTCCTGGCTGTAGATAGTGAAGATAACGCTTACCTGTGTTACATTGAATGGTTATGTGTAGCATATTGATAATAGTAAGAAGTTGTGATACTGAGTTTAACTGTGACTTGAGCTTTTGAATATTCTAGTTGATTTCCACGATTTTGTGCCATTCAGTCTACTGAAAGAAAAACAGTATCTTTATGTAGGAGGTTATAGGTGATTTTCAATATTGAAGAAGTAATTAATGGAATGTTGTAAGACATGAGAGACTTCACTGGAGTTGTGTAATGAGGCAAAATACCTTCCACAAAGAATCACTGTATTTTTTTAGTGGTGGTTGGAACAAAAGAAGATCTGAGGATACTTGGTTGAGAAGGCAATCGTAGTAGTTGTAGTTTTAGAGCCTGGCCTAAGACTTAAGTGCCTCAAATGTGGCATAGTGTTTCATGTTAGGTATACTGGGGTTTTGCATAATAGGTGGGGGTTTGAGGCACCTCAGCCTGGGTGTAGATGTCTGTTACTGTGCTTGCAGTTACACATCTTCCTGGGAGTGTTAAGATTCCTTGATTTTTATCACCTAATTATAGGCTAAGCTGCATGGGAGAGCTCCTCGCTCCTGTTTCACAGTGTTATGTGCAGCAAAGAACAGAAGGTTCGTTGGATAGAAAGAAAAGGAGGAATAATGGGTATAGTGATTAGGACACATCAGGAGAGCCAAACTCCTGGAGCCCTTCTAAAAGGCCATCTCTGTGTGAGCAGACCTCTGATAGTTAAATGGCCTTCATCCAAACTGGGAACTGTCTAGTGGCTGGGAGATTCCAGTACCAGGGTGCAACTCTTTCCAGAAGTAGTGGTTTATTTACTCAACTAAAGAGCGTGTTCTACTCAGGAAAGATTTTTAATTAAACAGTGCATGTCTGATTATTATGTGTTCTTTCAAACACTTGTTAAATATTAAATTTTATTTTATTTTATATAGGTTTTGGATTGTGTGGGATTCCTGAAAACCTCATTGGGGGTTTACTGAAGACTGGAGTAAAAGGATTAACCGCGGTCAGTAATAATGCAGGGTAGGTATTCATATATCTCTGGTTTAATAAGTACAGACTAAATATTTCATTCCTGTGAAGTGTCTGACATGTATGAAAAAGTCTTGTTTTTCATAGGAGTTTTCATATGAACCGTACAGCTTTGGAAGTTATATTTTAAATGAGTCCAGAAAATAGAGTACTCTTTGTGTATCAGCTTTGTCAGGGATTTTTTTTAAACTACAATTTGATGCTTTCTGAACTCCGTATTGTAATACTATTTCTTTAGAAAAACACAACACGAAACCAATGGAGAATTTTTATGATGACAAAATTGAGAGGCTCCTTAATGAGTCTTGAAATTTTTATTTACTTCTTTAAATGTTTCCCATTAAGAAGTTAATGTGGGCTTGACAGTGAGAATGATTTGTTTTACATAAAATGTCTCAGCTTCTCATGGACAATTTTTACACAAACTGTTGTAGTAGACTTCACAATACCTAATGATGTTCATAAGGAGAAATAACGACAGCATTTCTGTTGAAGCACATTGATAAAATAGAAATGAAATTGAATAAAAATATTGATATGCAGGATATAATGACTTGTATTTGAAATCAGCCTGGTCAATAAGACTGATGTAGTAGTAGTTCCTTAGTAGTTCCAACAGTAGTGTTGGACCAGTAGCATCTGCAGGTGATTCAATTGCTTATCTTATTAAATGGCATCACCTTCAGCAACGTAATTCCAGTAGAATTTAGTTCATTGTAGGTTTAAAGATTATTGGGAGACTCATGTCTCCTAGTGGCATTGTACTTTCTTTAGCAGATTTTCTTTTGATTAAGGACCTCATCCTAAGCTCTGTTGTCTTGTAAAATAAGGAGTCGTCTCACAACTTTATGTATAGGGGTTACACACCTCAGATGGTAAGTAAGATAGTTTGTGAGCATTCTTTCCATTTTGTGTTAAAAAAATGTTGCTTACTTTCAGCAAATATTAATTCTATGATACTATATTTTCTGTGAATTTTTTCCTTTTAATGCTGTATTTTTAGTTAAATAATAATGAGAATGTTTTTATGTAGCTTTATTATTGCTTGCAATTATTAGCCCTTTCTTTGGGTTTGGAAGTTTCCCATCTGTTCTGCAGAAGCTCAGCATTTATCCAATGGCAGGCCAAGAGCTGTAGGGGAAAAAATAATCACTGGGAAACTGTTTTCTTCTGTACCTATGTTATAATAAGAGAGAGATAAGGTTATGAGAACCGTAAGGGTTGTTTGGGTATAAAGAACCTTGTTCTTCGTGCACAATGAAAACAGATGTCAAACCTTGCTCCTTCACTTCCTCTAGCCTTGCCAAGAAGGTAATTATGTGGGATTTATCTAATAATGCTTTGTGCTGTTTTCAAGCTGCATCATTACATATCCTGTATACTTCACTCATAGTTTTGTATCCCAATCTGTTTTGGTTATAACCTGTGTTAAAAGTTAAAACCAGAATAACACTCAAAAGACACGGGTTTAGTTTATATAGTCCACTTTCTGAAGCTCAAGTTCACAGTATTTTGATCTTAATTTTTTTTCAGTCCTTCATGATTGCCATTGCACATTCATGGATAACAGATACAATCTGTAGTGGTATTTGGCACACACACAGTCAAACTGAAGCTCCATAGCTTTCTCTTGTGGAAAACTATTTCTGCTGGATGATCTAAAGGAGAGAGAAAAGGACAGAAATAATTTTGAGTGGAAAGGTCGGTCACTTAGAGATCATCGCTTTCCTCATACTCTCTATTTCTGAATGACATGTATATGTAGATAGAGGGATTACACAGATACTTCTCTGAGAGGGAGGTGAGGGTTTGAATGTAAGGAAAAGTGAAAAGAGAGTATTGTGGAATAGAACACAGAAGACAACATTTTCTTTGAAAGTAAATTAATAAAATACAGTTTAATCAATTGTTTCTGTTTATTGTATGACTTTTATGTGGAACTAAGTCTGCTGTAGATGGTAGGGGTAGGAATCAAGTTAAAGCACAGATGTAAATTTGGAATTGTGATCACAGTGATTGGTACCGTTTAAGCATCTGCTAATACCATGTCAAAAAGTATAGAGATAACAAGTATTGCAATACTAATAAATGGAGTTAAAAACTGAAGTAGCACAGCAGTCATATCCCCTGTATTCAAAGGGTGTAACGTTCCTGTAATCTCAGGATGTCAGGTACTTTGTTGGGATGAGTAATTTGCCCCTTTACAAGATACCTCTGGATTGTGTTTTGCTTTGGCACTGTTGTGTAGTTGATGCCCTGTTGTGTTTCTTCTTCCTGACTGAACCTGGTTTCTCTTCTCCAGTTCTACCAACAAACAGGAGGTAATTGGTTGTGGTGAGATTTTCTCAACCTGCAGTGGGGTTAGCGTGCAACTTTTAATTGGAGCAGGGAAGGAACCAAGTATGTAGGCAGGCAACCTATTCTGGAAAACAGTGCAGCTGTATGGATTGAGTCACGTGTCTTTCAGTATCCATGAACCACAAAATGTGTTACAGAGCTAACTGTAACTAAAATAGCAGTGGAGACAGCACTTGACTTGCATGCAGGGAAAAGCAGCAATTAGGAAGTCCTGAAGCATTCTTACCAACTCTGTTTTAGCTGGAAAGAATCACAGAATCATGGAATGGTTTGGGTTGGAAAGGACAGACCTTAAAGATCATCGGCCCTTCCATGAGCAGGGACACCTTCCACTAGAAAGTCCAGCAAAGCCTAGAAGAAATTGGCAACAGCTAGAAAAAATCTGGAAACAGCTTTAAAGGAGTAGGATGTTCAGAAGTTCATGCCCTCCCATTCTGTGCTGCAGTGTAATACAGAGGAGGTTCCTCCTGCATCCCACAAATCCTTGGTCTAATCACATTGCTGGCAGGTACAGTCCTTTGAAAGGCCAGCCAAGGACAGCTTGTACAGTAAGTAGCATGTGGGGTGTTCTTAGGTACCCTTAGTTAGAAAAATCGTACTGCAAAACTTACTGTCTGCTGCTGCACACTATGCTAGTGTGTGCCCTGTGTGCTAACAGTGAAATGACCCCTTTAAAGGTAGTTACTCTTTCGCCAAGCTAAACAAGGCAAAGTGTTTGAAAGGGAAGCAGTACAAATATCCAGTATCTCCAGTATTTACACAGTTTGCTGCAGGGGAAACTGGAGCTTGTGAACTGGTGTGATAGTGAAAGATACCATGGTGAGCGGGTGTGCTTCTAAAATGTGACCTCTTTCACCTTCCTTTATAACTTGTTTTGCAATCACTGTTCATATTTTAAGGTTTTTTTTACACTGTGGTATTATAAGCTGTTTAAGTTTAGACATTTCTGTCTCAGTAAGCTACTAAAAATCTGTTTTACTATATTTTGCTGCGTTATTGTTTAAAATTGGTTTGATCCACATGTCATATATGATACTCACATACCATGTCAGTATCTTTGTTTTAAACCTTGGTTCAGTAAATTCCCAGCATAGTTGTGAGTAGTATACAGTACCTTACTGCACCTGGCTGTTTTTTCATCTGTTTGTGACTTCATAGTGTCTTGTTGCATGCTGATTTTAATTTACAGTGGATTTTGACATTTCAGGTCAGCTTATGCTAAGACTTCTCTAATACAGGCTACCAGACCTTCAAATCTGTGTTGCAACAAAAACTTTGTTGAACTTAGAGTAAAAATAGAGACATCACAGTCAATTACTAGTCACCGGGGTGACCATCTAAAAGGAGACTGAAAGCATGCTGTCAGATTATCAGAGATTCAGACCAACTGCTTAAAAGGCATTACAAGCTTTTCGAACCTTTAGTCTCTGTGCTCTTTTTTTTAAGTGTTATTTTTAAGTTACAATGTTACACAGCAGTAAAGAAAATAGCTTTGAGGTAGAATTTGAACTGTTGTTTGTGATGCCTGCCTGCACTGTTACTTAGTTCTGTTGAATATAATGCTGTTGTTTTCCTAGTAGGCTATTTACAGGTACAAATCTCCAGATAAGGCACTATTCTATGACATCAGTTGAAGTGGTAAACTTAGTTCATTCCATATCCTAAAGCACAAAAAGTATTTTTGTGTTCTTTAAATAGTTTTAATTTAGGACAGAATTGACAAATGTTATGTATATACATTTTTGATATGTCAATTTTCAGTCATTACTTTGAGCTGTATGTTTCTATCAAAACCTACATGTGTCATCTTTGCCACAGACTCCCCGTTTGTTTTTGCATATGTAAATCCCATGGCTTAATTTATGATATTTATATTACTTACATATATTGAAAATATACTAAAAATTATAAAAAATATCATGAGATAGAAGTTGCATCCCAAGTTCACAGAAAGTCAAGGAGTTTTTTCACATAGTATAAAGTGTCAAGTGGTTTTAATGGCATGGATTTTACAATCCCTTGATTAAGAGAGCTAAAATGTAAGTGAAAAAGTCTGAGAGGCTAGGAAGAAAGCTTGTGTGAATACAAAGATGTTGTCAAGGTGATGGTCAGAGTATTTTTCCTTTTTGTGTGACATTTTTCTGGATGCATGAGAAATTCTTTAAACATCCCAAATTAAATGTATTTTCAGAAATAAAATACAAGGTCACCAATTACTCTTATCTGTCTTGATGGAGAGATAAGACTGGAGTTAGATAAAGTCCTGCACATGGCAAGTTGTCAAACTAATGAGGCAAGATATGTAAGATACTCTCAGTGTTGATTAGTTGATACAGGTTACCTTTTCTTTTTTAAAATAATCTCCATTTTTTCTAAAGAATCTAGTCAGATAGTTTATTACATCTGTTAAATTGGTGACACTGTGTGGTATGCAAATCTCTTGAAAATCTGACCAGGTCATCTTGCTAATTTTAGTGTGAAGGTTATTTAGGATTTTGGCAGTGCAAATTGGACTAAACTTTGCGCTACATGGAACTGTTGAGAAATCAGTTGTGCACATGACTTTCTGGTTGTGATTACAAATGAAGAAGACAAGATAGGTATAGAATGTTTGTAGAGGAACTGTGAAAGCT